CGCCTGCTGAACCAATGAGAGATGAGGTCGTGAGTCCCGAGTCGAGAAGTTCAAAGCAGTGTTTGCCCCGCGTCATATTTTTGTGGGGCCGATGTGATATCAGTTTGGTAGTCATTGGCAAAATGTGCACTGCTGTTGTGGATCAGGGACGTGGCCGCATGCGTGCAGATATTAAATGACTTTGTGTTGGACCCTCAATGTCTCCGGAGTGTTGCACAGATCTGGTAAGAACCTTGGTTTGTAATACTGAGCTACGCCAAATATTCTCAAAATGAAGAACTCTTTTTTGTTGATTAACTTTCACACTCTATCTTACTCTGGTTAGGTCATATGGATTTTAAATCAGACGATCGGTTGTCTCGCACAGCTCTCATCGCCCAGTCACGTATCGGCCGGGTTTGACCCACAAGTGGTTAGTCCACGAAGCCTAATTGTCCTTAACAGTCTACTCTGTCGTTTTGACATACTTCCGTCGTCTTGGATGGGCCCTCAAGACAAGATACCCTAGTGTTTACTGATCCTATCACGTATGCTTCTGTCACAGCCAGTGAAAAGCGTTACTCTGAATGGGTCGGTCTCTAATTTCACGGTCTCCTAGACAGTTGAACGTTATTGACTTGATTGGAAATCGGTCTCCAAAACAGCACTTATAATTCATCTCGTCTTAATCCAATGAATCAACCCCAGTTTATTATGTTGTTGGAAGACGGAAATTTCCTGTTTTCTGTTGTACATGTTTGTCCGTTCTTTGTTCTCACTACTTTCGTTGCTGTTTTCCCCAAAACAGAAGTGATCCAGTTTAACCAGTATAGGTTCTTCGTTTTGAATGCATAGTACTTGTGAACCTACCCTTGTTGGTCCTTTAGATGCATACCGTTGCATGAATATTATCTTAAGTGTGGTCAAAATTGATGTGCGTTTTTTTCAGTTTTAACTTCGTCCATTTTTCATATGGCTTGTTCAGTAGTTCTTGTTGTTTTTGCTGCACAAATGCTGCATGATGGTGCTGCCAGACAAGTATTCCATGCACGTCAGATGTCTGTTACGTGGTAGAAAAACACGTATGAATTTGGGAAATAAGTTAAACTCATTTGCAGAAATTTTGATAGTAAGGTACTTGATATGATTCAATTCGGCTGACTTCCATAGCTGAGAACTGTGACAAGTTTGTTTCTGAACTTGTACGGATGCTTACGCGGACCAGGGTTTTTGATACTGAGTAAGACTTTTGAAACTAATCCAAAATAGCGTAATGGGACAGGATGTACTGTATCCCATTTATCCTATATTGACGTTCTTGAGCACACACGCTGTTCTAAAAATGGCTTTTTTGAGCCCCAAAGCGCACGATCAATACGAAGCAATTAGTCGGATCCCATGTCTCTATGTCTAAATATCGGTAGCTGGGATGTGTGCATTAGTCGTTATTCAGGTAGTAGGTGATCGTCAAAGTGCACGCTGACAATGCATCCTCGCATGGTGACGGAAATTTTGCAAGCCACTCGCGAACAGATCGACTACCGGCTGATGATAGGCCAACTCGGGTCCCCTGTTTTTAACCTGTCAATTTCTCTTGTACCGTAGCTGGTGTCGAAAATATCTCATCTGATGAATTTTTTAAATCGAATTTTGATAGGTGTTTTAGAAAGCGAAGTGATGCACCTAGCTGAAGCCGTTTCCCCGTTGTTCGTTAAAATGGGGCCGTCAGAATACACGAAGATTGATAGCGATCCCGTTCTCGCAGAAGCTAGCAGTAAATAATCGTAGTGGGTTTTTTTAGTGCGTTGCTTGCTCAGTTGTGTTGACGTAGCTCATTTGCTTTATTCACCTGGAATGTGTTTGTGTACCGCTGTGGCCCTGATATAGCGTTTTGCTCTACAGACGTTTGTATTGGCAGGTGAATATTGCGTTCAACTATTCAAACGAAAGATCCAACCAACACTCAACATTCCTGCCTCTAAAATCAATGCAGAAACTAGGAGCTCGTGTTAGGACGGATCACGTATCACAAGATTTCCCAGATAATAGGAAATCAGAGTACTTCCTGGACGTCGAAGCGGACATTTATACCAGAGGGTGAACGGTTGTGACGCTCTATCCATGGATTCCATGAAATACTGTCTACTCGAGGCTACCACCCCATTTAATTCGTGAAGCACGCCTGTGCACGCATAAACCACTTATGCTTCGGTGTGATGCGACCATGTGAACTTGTTTTTTTACAGTCTGAAGCACAGTGGAACCTGGAAAACCGTCAAGTAAATTCAGCTGAATATGTCGCTCTTTGGCCAGTTAACTGGGCATAATGTCTGAAATTTATTACTAGAATGTTCTAAACTAGACACATTTTAGTGTGATAATCATACATTAATTCACATATGTATCCCTACGTCTCGATAAACAGCTAAGTCGTACGCAAAGTGGAAAAATGTGCTATTATCCCCATCAATTTGGGGCCTTCTGGTAACCAACAGAATTGGTGGTTTTTAAAGTAACTCAACGTTCATTCATAGTCTGCTAGTTTGGAATAGTGAATATTCAGACGACTATTGCTTCTTCTCTTCCATTTCCAGGCCACGTCCCACGAATTACCTTCTTTTAGGGGATGTTGCTCGCATCGTTTGCCTTCTTATGGCTGATCCCAGCAATGCATCCTGTCTGGAGCCTGTGCTCAAACACTGTTGTCGTACCTGTCATCGGGTGTTGGTCAAACATTTGAAATTGAGAATTCCTTCTGCATATGTTAACGTTAGTGCGCTCGTCCAGCAAAAGTATCCTTTAGGCTTACCTACTGGCCAGCCGATTTATAGTTTACCAGTGATTCCTTGGCCTTCGAATTACCCTTACACGGCAGCGCTCGGACTCGCCTGGAAAAAGTTGCCTTTTGGTAAGGGTTGGGCGGATGCCGTCTCAGATTCGCTTTTGATGAAGACAGCTACTCTGATTATGCAAACGGAGCCCAGTCGATTAGGACTGGGGTGTACTGACAACGGGACGAAAACTTCTGTCACGATGTCTTCTAATCCACTATCTGCCATCTCTCTGCCTACTGCACCGAAACCCAAATCCAAAAACGGGATAAATGATCCTCCACGCCCCAGTCCACATTTGCCTCTTTCTATTCAGAGACGCTTTCTGCTTCGTGACTGTCTTCCACAGCGGCAATACCAAGGGTTGGAACAAATCGCGAAGTGCCTCAAATCGATCACTCGCCGCATGTTTGTGGATACTAAGTCAACCTTCGAATGGCGACCACTCGGCAAACCCCGGGGTCCGTCGGTTGACATTCTCAATACTAACTTGTTCACTTGCCTATTTGACGTCCACTCAACTTTGTCTGTATGTTTGCGATGCCTGCGCGATTCTTATGCATCGCTTATTTCTGCTGGGTCTTGTCTCACTGCCCGGTTGAAACTGTCCGAATTGCTGGATACGGATGTGGATCAGCTACGCATTGAACGTGGACGTGCGAGGCTATTCCCTAGTGAAACAGTTGCACGGCATAATATTGTCCGCATTTTGTGTGAAGAGATACATCCACAACTTTTTAATCTTGTGGAGCAGGTTAACAGGACCCACCTGATCTTACGACAGTTGTGTAACGAAGTGAATCTTTTAGGTCCCTTTGTCCCAACACAGACCCGTTGCTCCTCGCAAACTTATTCAGCAACCGCACGGGCTTTAATCTTGGAAGCCCTAGGTGGTCAGGTACCGGAATCTGTAATATTAACAGACGGTTGGGCAGATTTTATGCACCTGATTCAAGAGATTTATGACTTTTTGTGCGATATCGTCGGATCTTTCACCTACCAGCTTAGCACGAAATTACTGGAATTTAAATCGGGTTTATCTATGACCGCTCGCTCCATTTCTCTTTCTTGGATTCCTGCGTTTGGCAGAACTCAGAAGTCGATTGATGCGCGAGCCAGTGAAGATCTGAAATTTCTTGCTGTTTCGTTGCAAAAGCAGTATGATGTTTTGGAAGCGTGGCTTCGTGCCCAGCACAACGTTATACTGCCGGAGATCGGCAATCGACTTCTAGGACTATTCCACAAGCTATTTAAAGTTAAAGATGGAATCGCAAATTCACAGGATTGGGTGCTTCCCAATGTCCGCTTATTTGTTCCTTATGGATCGAAAAACCCTAGTGAATTCAACTCAATCAAAGACCTTGGCACACCTTTTGTCGAACTGCCTTCGTGGCCACCGACAGTCGATGGTCTTTCCGAGCAGTCTGTTTCCCAAAACCCACCTGTTACCACGACTTCACCTGGTCTGCTTACGTTATTACTTACTCCTGCATCTTCCGCTGAGCCGGACAACTTTCGAAAGGTCCACTCTTTCCGTACAATTTGCACCACCGGATCAACCCCTCCTGGTTTGGTGGCATCTGTCTCCAGCCATTGCTCTCCTCTTTCAGCTGAATCCCATGTTGTTTGTTCCAGTACTAGTGCCAAACGCATATGCATTGACCTATCACAAAATCCTGAAGAGGATTCGACTATCATAAACTCTTGTCACACAAGTGTGGACGACATAGATTTTGTTGAGTGTACCGGAACCAGTACCATCGATCGGCGGCGTCTCGGTCAACTTAAACGTAAAATCAAAATTTCTCATGCGGCGACGAATGATTCTAATGCAACTCAACGGACAGTTTCTGAGGGAAGTGACTCCGAAGCGTCCGCAAATGAGTGCGCACTTGATGGTAGCTCCACCGATCACGACGATGGTATCCAGTCTGTGCAAAGATCACCCGAGGCCGTTGAAACTTCCAAGGTCCAGCAAAATCCACTGTCGAGTGGCGATGGTATCGCAGTCACCGAACAAACTATATCTCTTCCAACTTCTGTCTCCTCCTGCGTATGTGAAAACAACAGTCTAGAACAACGTGATTCGTGTGGCACACAACAGGATTTAGCAATGGCTTCAGCAGACAAACATTCGTTTTTGAGTGTGGACACGATGCTGGTCAGTACTACCGCTTCACCTATCAGTGCGCCGTTGGTATATGCCGGCTTCAGTGGTAGTGAACCATACAGCGCTGTACATTCGGCACCAGTATTTCCAGAATCATGGACCAAATCTCCTGGGTCGCTTGGTAAACCTTCCATCTCATCAGCCGTTGATCCTTCGTCTCACTTGATGCGACAGTCGTCTACAAATGCAAGTCTTGACATTGAGCAAGTTGCAGCGAATCTGGATAGGCTAGTTCCATGGCTAGAACAAAAAACAAGCTCTACTCACGTTCCAGGTCCGATCACAGCTGCTGTCCTTTCTCAGTCGAGCAGCTCGTTATCCCACGGTTGTGATCTAGCCATTGATTTAACTTCAGACGATTAAAGAGCTTTACCGTATCTCCTAATTACCCATTCTTCTCATTTCGTGCAGTTTGTAAATCGGTGGTGCATTTTTGCGCTTTTCTTTTTTTATTATTTCATTCTTTTATAACAACCAGATTACTATGTTTTACATAGACTATGCCTTGTAGATATTTGTTTATCATACCCGGTCACTAGTCATTTTACCAGTTTTCTTATCTGACGCGAGTTTCGTGGCGTATTAGCCCAATCAATATTGTAAGAACCAATCAACCGGTCAGCGTTCATAAGTTAGTTGATTCTATTTTGTATTTCATTTGGCTTGTGCTTCTCCGCAAGATGAGACACAGTCAGAATCCGAATAAGCGAACTTTGTGCATCCCACAATTTCCTGCGTCGACACTGAAAGACATTTTGCAGGCCAGAACCCACTGGCACACATGTACATATTGTCGATTGCTTTGCTGACTACGCATTCTCAGAGTCTGTTGTGTTTCGGTAAATAGTCAGTATGTCTTGTCGCGTAAACTGGCTTCCTTTTGCCATCTAGGTTACAGTACATTCGATTACTTAACCTGACATCCCCGTCAGTTGTTTTTAGATAAATAATCAATTTTCAGAGTCCATGGTGACCAAAATTTTGATCAGACTTCAAACTTCTTTGACTGACAGAATCAGATGCGCATCTTCCTGAAGAAGAGCACTCATGGTAAACAATCGTTACTGCAGGTTGGTCCTCTCCAAGTGACCCGTGCTTTTTAAACTCTTCAACCTGCACTACTCAGATTCATCCGACGGCTTTCTCTATTTAGCAACTTTAACTTTTATCCCCGGTAAGAGAAGTTCGGACAGAAATGCACGCTAAAAACCGTATTAATGCACAGGTGAGGATGGCCATAACACGAATCAGAAGGTGTATGTACTAGTAAAAGTCTTTAGTATAGTTGTGACACGTATACAAACAAATACAATGAGAAAGTGGGAGCAAGTAAAAAAATGGACCTTATCATTTGTGAGAGTTCCTTGATGAAAGTCCGGACGGCGCGTGTTTTCTATGAGAAAGTGGGAGCAAGTAAAAAAATGGACCTTATCATTTGTGAGAGTTCCTTGATGAAAGTCCGGACGGCGAGAACGTGTTTTCTCCGCAGTTTGGCTGTTGCACGTATTCCGTAGTTGTCCGTGGACTGGAAGTGTTTGGCTGACTCCTTGTTCCCTGAGCGCGCGCGAGTCTGTGTGTGCTGACTGCGTTCGGTTACCCTAAATGTAGGTATGGTATGGTATATGTGGGCGCGTCAGCACATGAGTGGTTGCTACGCTCACTAGACTGTGCAGACAATCAACGTCTGATGAGCCACCTTAATGTGACGTGGTTGTGGACATTAAAAAAGACAAGTCTCGTGAACCAGTGAGCGACTGTGGGCTGAACAGTCAAGTATGTGGGTGACCGGGTTGCTACAACCGAAACTGCTGTGCTCTCGGTGTCAAGGGATTTATAAATGTAAAGTCTAGCCAGACTGCGTATGTCACTAGTTTCTTGCTAACAGCGATTTGTCCAAATGAGGAAATCTTCAAGTCCAAGAAGCATGTTCAATCTGAAAGTCCTTTGTCAGTATGAGTTTCAGCTTCCTTCAGCATAGGAAAACCCGAAAGCAACGTCATACAACCCTTTTTGTGAAAAATCAGACTAGACATTTTAACGTCTATGGTAAGCCCTTAGTCTATTGCTGCCAAATGCGGATGGTTACTTTCAAGAAATGGCGAATGTTGACTGGTTGTTAGTCAAATTTACGAGCTACATAGCAAGTACAAAACTAATCATTTTTACTGAAAAACCCTTTGGTATTGAATTTTACTTCTGGCCATGTCCACAAGACAGCGGCCTTGCCAGCTAAACACTTGGCCATCATGGGCGGGGAACTTATTTTGAGAATATATTTATTGCGCTGTAATTAGAAGTGAGAGTACATGCAGTTTCGCTCCTCAATATAAGCTGTGCATTCGGACCACCAGCGAATTAACGGAGCATTGCAGGCGAATAGTATCGCAGTAATTGTACGCCTAAAGTCGCCATCGCTGTGTACCAAAAACGGAGCGATGCATCATGCTCTCCATAAACATCAGTCGCAGTAATTGGTGTACTGCAAGCATACGATCAGAAAACAGTTTGGCGTTTGGTATAGTCGATGAAGAGGCCACATCTTAACAGATGACCAACGGCGAAGATCGGCAGATTTTCGCAGCACAACAGCACTGACAGATGTGATGTTTGGTCAGGGTCGCAAAACTTTCAGTGACAAGCGAATAATCTCTAGTATGTCACTGCGAGCCCTGACCTCGTTGCAGAGAGTTACTGAAGGAATGGAAAGAATCGCGAATAATTAAGATGACTTACAACTGTAAATATTAGATCTGACTCACTCGTTTAGCCACGGGAATATCGTAATTAGTTCCTGATTATTTCATTTGATATTTCGGTATTGATGACATTCTTTGAAGTTGTCTCGGAACGCGGCAACTTTTTGCTACAACTACATCATCAGGTATGTTTTCGGTGCGCTTGACCAAGTGCTCACGAAACTGACGCTTCAGTTAGTTAATTTCGTAACTATCAAAATACCATACGTTAGGGCATCACAGCGGTGTTTTTCCTAACTGCTTTGCATAGATGGTTGCTTCCCCCCCCCCCGAAAAAAAAACGTACATCTAGCTAACTGGTGTTAGTTTGCCCGCTGAGTTTCCCATCATATCCGCAGTAGAATATGTCTAGGATTCCGGGCAGAGAATGCTGGAATTTCGTTGTTCAAGCAAAACTTGAAATCCCTTAAGGCACTGTAAAATGAACAGAAATTCCGGACATGAATTCCATCGGGGAACCCATTAGTCATCTGAGCGACAACCACACAAGCATAATTGGAATTGAAGTGGGCACAACCACTGCGATTTAAACAAATTTCATTAAGATGGCAGTAGTTTGTGACATTCTCAAGGATACCGAATAGTGCTACGTTTCTGTGCGTAATTTTGCATCCGACATCCCATGGCTCACGAGTAATTTCGGTTATGTACTTACGGATCAGTGGCGGACGTCGTACTGATTTACGCGGTCAAAAAATGCGCCCATGTGGGTCGAATGGCGTGTCCAGTTGACCTAAAGATGGCAAGCTTCGCTCAATACGGGATATGTGACCACTTTATCTGTGAAGTTCACGCAAGCCATATTAGAAGGAACAGACACAGGTCGTGGTTGTCAGGTGGAATAACCGGTGTGATTTGGACACGCAATTAAGTGAGAGAGGGATACAAGCGACTGCAGACACAGATATGAACATTTAATAAATCAAGGATGAGTACTAAGTGTGTGGAACTTCATAGGTTGGAGCAAGTTAGTGAAAGTGGGACTGGACAAATCAGATGTAGGTGACTTGCCGGGAAGTCTCAGGAATTTTTAACAAGCCGTTTTCTAAAATGGTTGCCTGCTCATTTGTTTGACCGATCGGTATTAGGAACGGAGTGGCCTATGGTGAAATGTTTTGGGTTCGTAACCCTACATGAGAACTGATTCTTTGATGGTATAGCCCACTTACTACCGGATAGTTTATCAATATGCTATATATCGGAATGCATAACGTGTGACTCAGCAGTAAACAGAGGGAGCGTTGAGGTACTCCAGTCAGGCGTTGCATTAAATGTCTATTATAACGGAGATCGATACGTGACCCATGAGTTTCACGTTCCAGGGTTTTACGTATACTTCATACTGTCATAATCAGTACCGTTCTTATGGCTCGTTCGATCGCCTGTTTACTGTAGGGTAGTTTGCTGATTTCGTCACCTTGGTCCCAGCGGTCTTCCTAGTAGGCCTGAACTTTCAACCATTTGCATACCCACTCTCGTACCATCATGTCCACTGTTCGTCGACTCGTCTAGCTGCAGTAGGTGATGACCTTGTTCATAAATTTGTGGAAATTTTGATTAAATCAGAATGGTCAATTCACGACGAAGTTAATTGCTTTGCAGGTTCAACTGCAATCATTGGTCAGGCTTCTATTGGAGTTGACCGCGTTCATAAACTGGCTGAAATTTTCGCGAATCAAAAGCGGACCCGTGGGTGAGCAAATGTTGGCCTCCAGTAGTTGACGGACACTTCGAATGCACACATGTAAGCAAAGGTTTCATTCTGTCGTCATGCTTATTTAGGTCTTCTACATGCCAGCCGGATGTGAACAAGACACTGGGTCAATGGGATGCGTGGTCACGAGTGCAGCTTGAATGCTGAATTGAACGCAGGTGCCAGGGGTTAATAGACTTGACAGAGTGAGCTCAACAGTCTGGCATACTGGTGATCTTGGCCGCGTCATACGTTAGGGTTGAATCAAGCCACTTCGGCTCACACCCAAAGCTCTACACCGCACGCCATAGCCCCTGAGCAGCCTCGCATACCAACCTGTCAGGGATGAACTAGACGGATTATGTGAATTCGGTCACTCGAGGATGTGGTGCCAACATCCGCCGCTGCATTACAGTCCAAGAATGGGTTCAGCTTAGAATCTTTGACATGTGGCGTATTCAGTGGACGTGGGATCTAACAAAAATTGGATTATGATGAATGTGAATACTTGAACAGGTGTTTGCGTGTAGTTTTTGAATTCGCAAGAAAAAATGGAGTGGTATAGATGTCAGGTGGTCACAGTAGAATAGGAGTGATATGATAGTAACAGCTCGTGCGAGGTTGAACCCAGCAATTTCTGGCATAAACTGTGGACTGTTTTTACCTAGACTGGGTAACTTGGATCCAGCACACAGATTCCGGTTTCAGCAGTGGCTCAGATGATTCAAAAATGTTGGACCCGAATGGATTCACTGACTAATCATTGATTAATTTTTCATGGGCGACAATATCCAGCGAAGTGGCCGTATTTTTCAAGGCGTCTGTGGTTTATCCCGCGAGCTGAACAAATTACACAGTCCGTTTTATGTCGAGTATCTCCACATAGATAACAGTAAATGGATGGCCAAGATATTCTTGGGATGTACTCAGACCGAAGTAGGAGACTGATCAAACACCAACCTGTTTATCTTAAGCAGTTCCGGCACCTTTTTCCATGGTAGATTAGAAGAATTTTCGGCAAGCGGTATTTCTTCTGAGAGCCAATCTGGGGGCGCTCAATACATGTTGCTTTTTGAGCATAGCAGCCTCCAAATCCTCTTGATACTTGAGTATTCAAAACGACCAGTCTGAGGCACCACGAAAATGGTGTGGATGTTATTCGGAAAACTGTGCTCATGGTCTCGGTCAATCATCTGAAAAACAGTGTTTGATTCCAGTGAAACATGTGTAATCCTCGGCTGCGTCACGAAACTCTTAGAAATGGCCTTTCCGAAAGTCGAGTAAATCAGAGTGTGTAAGTATGGGAAGCAAAAATGGTATCTCGTAACAAGCAAATACAAATTATCAAGACATTTGAAGTGGCTAATCGAATGATTCTTGAACAACAATTTGAACAATTTTTGGACGACATTACTGTTCGGAGACTGCACGTATTCGCCGATAGTGCCCCCTCATCACGGACACAGGACGTTTTTTCCA